TGTAGCGTTTGGAACAGCAAGTGTGTCCGATCGGGGCGATCAGACTTAGGCGGAAGGCAGTGTGGCGAATACTGCGGCAATGCGAAGCGAACAACAAGAAAATGGCAGACTGTTTGATGAAAGAGCTAGAATATTCGAAAGCAAGAAACGTCAAATGGATGAATATTACGAACAGCGAGAGAATGCGCGATAGACAGCAGAACGTTCTAGAGTTGCCATCAGTGCGAGCGCAGGTATATAAGGCCGCTGCTACAGCGCGGAGGAGTAAGTTGCAAATCAGCAAGCTACTAGTTAAGTTGTAAAACAAAGATCAATTGTGTTTGCAACTTGTGTAAGGTATTGTAATTTCTTCAACAAGTATTTTAAAGTGTTGTTATTGCATTAGCGAGTATTGTAAAGTGTTTGTTGTACAACGTTGTACAATTGTACTGTAATTTGGCCATCTTGATACGAACCGAAAGGATTTTGGTAAATCCGTCAAGTAGTCAAGGATAATCGTAACAATATAACGAAGTATTTAAAAAATTTAAATTTTGTTGGAAAACGCAATCAAAGTTCTATCAACTCTTTTTTGGTAAATGGCTTTAAGTCAATCAAAAGTACAGAAAACTTGGCCCACTTCAGAAAACTTGACCCAGTGCCAAATAAGAAGATACGGAGATTCACGGCATCCACCTGGCAAAGGTGGTCACGTTCGTTCGCTAGTTCGGCTGTAAAACTGGGGTGGATTTCTGCTAAGCGTCCATCAGGGATGAAGCAAGCCGCTGCAGTATGAGCCTCTGTTGGTGTGGCGATGGAGGTGCTATCGGCAACTTTCGCGAAGCCGTCCCAGTCAGCTTTGTCAAGTTGATGTATATGGGTGTGGTGTTTCGCACAAACTAAATCGGCAGGTTTATCAATCTAGATGACTATGCGTTGGTAGACCGATGGTAGAGTAGGTCGCCACGTTGTGGTGTTTGTCAGACCGGAGCTATTGTTATATCTAGCGAGCTGCAGCAGCTTCTATGGGCGGGGTGCAGATTGCAGATCTGCTCAGCCAAATGTATTCCCTACGATGATTTGGCAGGCTTGCGCTTTCCACCTTAGCGAGCTCGACATCGCCTGACCGAACAGCATAAGACGATACTGCACGGTGTGATGCACCTCAAGACTTACTTTCTGTGAATGACAATCGACACCTGTTGGTAAGCTGACGGGTCCAGAGGTTGCTTTATGAACCACTGGACTTCGTCAGTCAGTTCATAAAGATGCCTTCTGACGTGCCGTCACGAGGGTTCTTCCGCAAGCAGATGTCTGTTCGGGTGCCCCGACGGTGACACCCTACTAGGAATTGCTTGCTGAGCATTGTGTTATGCTCCTTAATCGGGAGCATGTGAGCTTCGTCGTGCAGGTGATGTTGCGGCGACATCAGAAGGCATCCTGTCGCTGTCCTATTTTGGCAGGTCTGCAGCTTCATCCACTGCGTCCTACTAGTCACCGGCGACCACACAGGCGCTGCATAGTTCAGAACCGGCAAGCCTTTTCCCCTGGTGCTGCCGGCTAGCGATTTGAGGACCTTGTTGCGGCTTTGTACTTTGTTGATAATTTCGATTGTATGTGCTGAGAAGGAGAGCAGACTGTCGAAGGTTACTCCGAGGATCTTATTCACCGTCGGAATTTGTTCGTCATCGACGTGGATACCCAGCTGCAGTTTGACCTCCTTCGTCCAAGTGGTGAAAAGCATTGCTGAGGATTTTGTAGGGGAGAGGGTTAAGCACCGTGCAGTAAAGAAGCGAGAAAGCTCGGCGAGATAACCATTTACTTTCGAGCACAAATCATCAATTCCATTCCCAGACGCCATTATCGAGCAATCGTCAGCATAAAGGACAATCGAGACTAGCTCTGGTGGGTGAAGCAGCTTAGAGATGTAAAAGTTGAACAGTAGTGGGGAAAGGACACCACCCTGTGAAACCCCGTTTTATTTTCCTAGGTTTGCTCGATTTGTCTCTAAAGACTACTCATGAGTCTCGACCACTCAGATAATTCGCCGACCACGGTTTGAGTCCCTGTGGGAGAGGAGGCCTCTATGTCTTCTAGTAGCGTTGGTTGGCTCACGGTGTCGAACCCCTTGGACGGGTCCAACGCAACAGGAGCAGTTCTCACACCGGAGCGGTTTCGGTTACGGCCGCGAGTTATCTGGGTGTTTTTGGCCTTAAGTGCTGTTGTTGTGCTGTGCACTTTATGGAACCCATGCTGATGCTTCGCTGGGGTACGGTGTTTGTGTGTCTTCGCTACCGGGGAAAGGAGAGTTATCGGGCAATAGGACTCTCCTTTTTGGACTGATTCCCCGGTTTAAGCAGAGGGACCACTCACCCCATTTTTCGGATGTCAGTAATGATAAGAGTGGCCATAGACAGGTGGAGGACCTTCGTTAAATAGTCCACTCCCGCAGGACGCACATTTTTCAGCAAATTCCGTCGGGTCCAATGGGTTTGGAGGGTTTCGCCTTCCCGATGGCTACCCTTACATCGCCGCTTGTGAAAACAAGGGGCGCACTTGGTGTTGGAAGTTTGTGCAGCGAGTGGCCAACTCGACGTTTGGCTTTGTCCGCCGGAAGATGCAGTATGAGCTGTCAGCTAAAACCGTTCGCGCACCGCTCCGGGTCCGACGAAGCGTGGTCGCCAAAAGATATTTCAACTCTGTCGTCACGCTTCGTCGGGTTGGATAATGACGTCACGGTTGACCAAAGTTTACTCGCATCAGAGGCGAAGTTGCAGGTCTTCAGATGCTCTTCTCACTTTTTCTGCTTATATACGTTCACTAGTTCTAAATCAATCTCAAGAGTTGATATCCCTGATACGGGGATTTCCGGGATCGGCCTGACGAAGGTTGTCACACATTTCGGAAAACTTGGACGGGGGTCCGAAATGCATCCTGCTGGAAAGAAGCGGGCTGCAGTAGCAGTGACAACCCTGCGGAATTAACGCTCACCTACGTGAACGTCGGTTGGTGTGGGTCAGTCAGCTTTGGAGAAGTTGACATAGGTCCGATGGTCCGCGGAATCAAAGTCGGTAGGTTTATCAATCGGAAACTAGGAGGTGACTCCACTCATTATAGGCGTTGCACCTGTTGGAGATGGAGTTAGGGTGTAGTCATCTCTGGCACACGCAGCAGGTGTAGATTTCTGGCCCAGGGTTTGACTCGATGCCAGCCTTGAGCAGAAGTATGCGAAGCCCTATGGACGTACAACTTTTAAGGGATTAACGGGGTTAGATCGCCGAAACAACAGCCCTTGGTCGGGTAAAACCGGAGTTATTCCGGTACGTAGAACCGCGTCGTGGAATGAGGAATCCTATTGGCTGAGTAGATAGACGATTCGACATTCTGCACCATGAACTACGACGCCCCCCACTAGGATTGCGGCCAGCTGAAGCAGCTCGCCAGACCTAACAATTGCTAGCGCTGGTCAGATAAATAGCATAATATGGCGACCTATGCTAAAGCCGGCATAGACCATCTGTCCATAACAATTTCGATCAATAAGCTCATCCCGCATATCACAGAAACCTACATCAACTTTAACAAAGCTGATTGGAACGGCTTCGCGGAAGTTACCGAGAGCAGCTTCGCCGCCCTTTCCATTCCCACAGGCATACACGCAGGGTAGTCACTGCTGCAGCGAACGCATCGCGGAAGGCCGCCTAAATTTCCGGGCGGAAGCAACTGTTCTAGCAAATGAGAGTGACCACCTACGCCAGGTCGATCCCGGGGATGCTCGCCTGAAGGAC